CCAGGATTTCGGCTCGGGGGGGGGCGCGACAAAAAATTTTTTCTAAAGAAGGTGCGTGGCGTTAGCCACGCACTCCGAAAAAATTTTAGGGGGGCTTCTCAACAATTTTGCGGGCCCCAAACCCATAAAATCTGGAAAAAGGGGGCGTGGCGTCAGCCACGCCCCCGAAAAATTTTTTTTTCTAAGGCTAATTTGAATTTTTAAAAAATTTTAAAAATTATTTTAATTGTTTACAAAAATAAACAAGTCATTTGCACATTTTTATAATGCATGTAAGTAATTTTCAAAGATTTCGCGACCCGTTCTCGGGGGGGGCGCGCGCCCCCCCCCGCCCCCCACCCCCCCCTCGGTACGCCACTGATATATATATATATATATATATATTAGGTGGGTGCAAAAGTTCTTGCGCCGAATTTTCAAAAAACCATAACTTCCTTCCTTCTTGGCGGAATTTTTTACATTTACTTCTGTTTGAAAGAGAAAACCTTTTTCTTTATAGCGGTGCCTTTGCCATGAATTAGCGTTGGTAAGTTCGAGAGTTAAAAGCAATTGAAGGAAATTAGTCAAGATCGACATTTTTTAAGCTGGGATCACGAAAAATTCTGCAAGCATGAAAACGTCACAGAACAGGCGAAAAAGTCATAAACATGGGTTTTGTGACCTCCCCTTTCTAGCTGAGCGAAAATCGTGCCAATCGGGAGCAATTTTTATTTTCGTGAAAAACGCAGACCCGAAAATCCGAATAAATCACGAAAAATAAAAATTGCTCCCGATTGGCACGATTTTCGCTCAGCTAGGAAGGGAAGATCACAAAACCCATGTTTATGACTTTTTCGCCTATTCTGTGACGTTTTCAAGCTTTTTTGATTGTGCTCAAAAATTGCAAAACTAAAGAAATTCTCTTTAATTGCTTCTAACTCTCGATCTACTTCGTTTTAATCAATGAAAAAGGTACCACTGTAATGTGCAAAATTTTCTCTATCAAATAAGAATACTTGCAGAATTTTTCGTGAACCAGCTTGAAAAATGTCGATCTTGACTACTTTCCTTCAATTGCTGCTAGCTTTGGAACTTTCTAACGACGCTTCACAGCAAAGGTACTGTTGTAAAGGGAATGGTTTGCTCTTTCAGATGAAATTAAAATCAAGAAAATCCATGGAGTGGCAAGGAAGTTATGATTTTTTGAAAATTCGGCGCAAGAACTTTTGCACCCACCTAATATATATATATATATATATATATATATATATATATATATATATATATATATCAGTGGCGTACCCAGGATTTCGGCTCGGGGGGGGGGGGCGCGACAAAAAATTTTTTCTAAAGAAGGTGCGTGGCGTTAGCCACGCACTCCGAAAATTTTTTTGGGGTGCTTCTCAAAACTTTTGCGGGTCCCCGACCCCCAAAATCTAGAAAAAGGGGGCGTGGCGTCAGCCACGCCCCCGAAAAAAATTTTTTTACAAAGCTAATTTGAATTTTTAAAAATTTTTAAAAATTATTTTAATTATTTACAAAAATAAACAAGTCGCTTGCACATTTTTATAACCCACATAGGTAACTTTCAAAAATTTCGCGACCCATTCTCGGGGGGGGCGCGCGCCCCCCCCGCCCCCCCCCCCCTCGGTACGCCACTGATATATATATATATATATATATATATATATAACTCAAAATTGTGAGTTTGGAGGCTATGTGCATTATAGAAACGCGCGCTGCTCAACCGATTCAGCTGAAACTTTGCACACATACGTTTTCGACCCCTGCGCAGATGATAGGCTACTTTTTGCGGCGATTCGTTGGGTCCTTCTATCGACTTATTGATTTGTTTATGTTTTTCTAAGGAATGGAAGGCTTATCATGTATGAACAAGCATTTTCTCATTGTCATGTAAAGGAGAGCGGTGAAGTTCATTTCTACCCCAGGAGCACGAGGATGCAGTGAACCGAAATGGGCGCAGCAAGGTAGGTCATTCATGTGAAATAACGTGGGGGGGGGGGGGGGGGTTGCAGTGCGGTAGTTTTGCTGGCAACCGCACCATCTACCTCATCTGTGAAAATTACCCTGGGCTGGACCGGGGAAGCCAACTAGTAATCATATATTTGTGATCAGCGTTTCAAGGAGAGTCCGATGATATACAGCATGTTCGGAAGTATCAAGCTTATGATAGATAATCAGTAAAACTCATAATGGTTTTATCAATTCGAAAAAGAAGTGGTGAGGGAGGAACTTGGTGGTATGAAAAGTGCTTGTAAGGGTAGCATGCATTAACATCGGGGGGATGGCAGGTTACAAAGAAAGCTTCATATCCTGAAGCTCCGAACTTCTGGACTTTACGCTGTCTACCCATCCTTTAAGTACTCTTACCATCCTTCACTATGAACATGTTGAACACGAGCGAGAAGCAGTAAGAGCCGACCTTCGACGTGTGGTTTATCGCAAATTTCATGACTTCAAATCACTTTTTTTACCAGAAAGATGATTAGTACGGTTGGCTTATATAAACAGCACAACTTTGAAGTGCTTTTATCGACTTTGAAAAAAGAAAAATGACTCGGCTGGCAGCCAAGGATCATCAGGGGACCAAACAAAAAGCCAGAAAATGCGGCTTGTACAGCTTCTTGCTTCCGGTCAAGATGTTCATAGTGAAGGATGGTGGGAGTACTTACGCATAGGTAGACAACATGAAATCCAG